CGATGACTGTGGTGATCTGGCCTGTAAGCACGTGGAACATGTTATCACGGAACTTGAGAATGAAGGCCACCGACAGGCCTAGGGCGGCTGTGACGAAGACCAGTGCGATGGAGAAGACGTTGTGTCCGTAGAGGAGGCCACAATGTAGCGTCAGGTCACGGTAATCAGAGTGCAGGAGCAGCGTGAGGCTGTTGAAGATCAAACCAAACATGTACAGCTTGCTGTTCTGGATGAAGATGCTCTCCACTAGCTGCTCCCCCTCCTTGAGGATCTTCTCATTGTAGATGTTGGCCAGCGCAGAGATGAAGCATTGCAGCAGCAGCAGGACGTAACCCAGGCCGAAGCTGTTCAGCTTGTGGATGAGCGGGCTGGCCCACAGCTCACGTTTCCAGTATGTTTCATTATAGTTCTGATGCTCTGGCTCGGGATGGGCGTATTTTAGGCAGCTGTTGGAAGGGGTGGAAATCTGGGCTGGGTGGATGCCATGTACAGCAATGGCGTGCTGGTCACCACTGCCAATCGTCAACGACACAATAGACAGGAACAAAATGATCAAAGATGCCCACTGCACCCAAGACAGGCGCCTCCTGCAGGTCAAAAGATGGAAAGTCAGTAACAGAAAAAAAAATAATAATACAAGGATATTAAACAGATATCAAGAAAGGATGGTACTTACTTCAGAACAACACGGAAGAGAATGGCTGTTGTAAAAATGACAATGTTGGAAAACATAACTGCCATGGCCTATTAAAACATGAGAAAAATATGAATGTTGTGGTCGTTCATAAATTTGGGGTCAATGCAATTTTTTCTTTGAAGGAAATTAATAATTTTTCTCTGAAAGTTGATCAAAAGTGATAAATGCATTTATAATGTTACAAAAGACATCTATTTCAAATAAATCAACTTTCTATTCATTGAAGAATGTATTATGATTTCCACAAGCATATTAAGCTGCACAACTGTTTTTAACTTTATTATTAACATTGAGCACCAAATCAGCATATTAGAATTTGTGAAGGATCATGTGACAATGAAGACTATAATGGTTGCTGAAAATTCAGCTTTGCCATCACAGAAATAAATAAACCTGTTATTTTAAATTGTAATAATATTTCACAGTGTAACTGCTTTTACTGTATTTTTAATCAAACAAATGCAAAATACAATCTTGCAGGTCCCAATTCATTTAAAGCTTATAAATACATCTATTTAATATATACATTTACATATTATTATTAATATATACATACACACATACATTTAAATTAATGTATTAATTTAATTACTACATTTTTTTTGTATAAAGTAGTAAATGCAAAGAGTTACTTTCCAACTAATATTTATCCATAACTATAAACTTTTAATAATTCAACATACAGGTTGCAGATAGGTCATCACATAGAAGATTATGAGGTTATCAAGGAAGTAGAGGAATGCAGGAACGGACCATTTCAGGTAGCTGAGAAAAGAGGCACAAGATGAACACCCCAAATCTTTATAAGAGCGGCCCTCTGGAAAACAAAAGCAATGGTTGTAGTTCCATAACAAATAACATGTACAGTAAGCTCAAATAACAACATATATCCAGTGTTGGGAAGGTTACTTTGGAAATGTAATTGGTTATAGATTACAGGTTACCCTATTTAAAATGTAATAAGTAGTGTAACTATTTCAATTACTTTATTAAAGTAATGTAACTGATTACATTTGATTACTTTTCTAAATTTCAACTGTTAATTGGGGTGGTTAATCCTTTTGAAACATTTAAAGCAGGCAGGGTTAACCTTACAGTATAGGATTCAACAATGATTACTGTCAGACTTCTCGAAATCCTTCATCACTTGAATTAAGATTATACAAATTTAAATTTAAAGCACAGCTAACACAAAATCAGACTTTAGCACCTCTTTTTACTTTGAGATCATTCCGAGGTTAAATAAGAAATAGTTGAATAGCTATGATACTGTTTTTGAAATCAAATCTTTGCATAGCTACGACAGGAAACACTGGCATCTAACAATGCCTTGGAAAAAAGTTAATCTTAAAAAATAAAGCATATACATAAACCCAAATAGGAAATAAAACAAAATAAACTCCTGAAACATTGGTGTCTCATATTTTAGAACAGTCAATGAATCAATTCTTTGAAAGAAATCAATCAGATCTGTGAAAATATTCAGATGTAACCCCCTTTGTAATCATTAACATTTTCATAAGTAACTGTAATTTAATTACACATTTTTTTCTCAGTAACTGTAACAGATTACAGTTACATTTATTTTGTAATTAAATTACGTAATTCCGTTACATGTACCTAGTTACTCCCCAACACTGCATATATCACAATTCAACAGACTGTAAATACACTTTTTTAGTATGTTAATGAGTATGGTTTGAGAAAGTAATTTTGGGACAATGAATCTGACTCACCTCGAATGACCACCCGTACTGACATCACTAAACAAAATACTAGTTTGATGGCCTCTGCCATTAAATTCACAGATGCAGGAAGAAAGTCATAATTCTTTTCTGTAGGTAAGACAAAATTAGTTGCAACAATATTTAAAATGCCCATTGCAAAAAGTAAACTATTGGTGGTAAGGAATCATACATCAAGTTGCTCTATGGTGGTGTATTATATTATGTTACCTTCATTGGCCGAGAATTTTAGTAACAGGATGCGACTGGTTCCCAAAGTGACAAAACCCAGACCCAGAACCAAAGTGTAGGCTGAAGATCTTGAGCACAGCCGTGAACAAGGACAGCAGCGACGGCATAAAGAAGAGGATGAGGACGGGGCCATTATGGACAACGTAAGCCGAGGCTGTTCATAGGAGAATGAACAGGATCACTGAGAAAACATCAGACAATCATATCAATCACAACACTGAAGCACCAATAAACATTTTTTTTCACAAAATAAGAAATTAAATAAATTGGTCTCTCCAGCACTTTCACTCCTCAAATACCACTTTGTCAAGACGTGTCACCTTCTGTATCTAGCGCTTTGTTTTCAACATGATTCACGAGCACAAATGATGAGCCAACCAACAAAACATGCAGACATGGAGTCATGGAAGGAGGGATGACTATTGTGTTTCAGTGTTTACAGATAGTTCAGAATGGAAGGAACATGAACATTCTGTCTTTTGTGAAGGCAGTGACATTGTTTTAAACATTATGTTTTAAATATCACATCTTTTAGTACAGCACTGTTTAAACATCAAACTACAAAATGCCTAGATGAAAACTATAGATGATTATGACATTATCTTAGAAATGACATAGAAAAAGTCTAAATACATTCTGAATGTAAAAGAAACACTGATGCTAAATCATTTGCAACCACTAGATTCACTAGAAAGCAAAATTATTCTAAAATGTACAGTGGTGTGGTTCATCACAATAATTATGGAATTCAGCGTGATTGTTATGATGTTCCCGACGCAAATAAAAAAAGAAGTGCATCATCCAGTTCAACGACAGGATATTCACAATGTATCTATTATAATGTGAATGTGGTGATAAAGCACAAATAGATTCATATTCGGTGCTTTATTTACCTACCCATATGTTCCCACTTGAACTAACAACCTGCCCACGGCTTCCGTATATTTGCGCATGCGTATAATGAAGCTACGTCATCGTTTGGTTTAACGTTGCAGGGCAACACGCTTTGTTCATTAATATTAATTAGATTATACTGACGTTCATTGGTAGTATTCCAAAAGTGAAGGCGTGGCTGGCTAATGAATTTTAAAATAATCCTTAGTCACAGTTGGACTAGTACATTTCCCCGCAGAGCTAGCCTACATCTAGGAATGAATGTAAAACTGAATGTAAAAAAAAAAAACTATTTGTTTGTTGTTTGCTGGATAAGGAATAAACTGTTTGAATGTGGGCAGAAAAACAAACAGTGTAAAGTTAGCCTACAAGAAAAAAAGTTTAAGCATATTTTTTTTATATACTTTAAGGTTGTAAATATAGTATTTTGCTTATGTATGACTGAATAATTGAGTGCTTTCTTTTCAAATAACAATGCCTAAAATGAGCTGTTGTAAACATTTTCCAGTCACTTTTAACTTTCAGTTAAATGCATGCTGTATGTTTTACATTTTAAATTGTGTTTAATGTTGTGCAGTATGTAATGTTTAATGTTCATTTTATTGTTTTAGGTGTTTTCCATACTTGTCTGGACTTTGTTTCTCGGCATCTGTCTGGAAAATGTAATGAGGATGGTTTGTTAGGAAATTCTAAGAAGTCTTTGCCCTCCTAAGGGAAATGTGGTCATGAGTCATGTGCAATATTAGCTCAGTTTGTAATAACAAATATTGTTTTATTTTTTTTTTATGTAATTATATGATGGATGGTCTATAGCTAGGTGGAGGTATGAGTGTTAAACAAGGTCCAGACTGTACCTGTTTAATCTTCAAATGCACAGACTTTTACTCACATAAACTTGAACACTGTAAACAAGCAATGTATGAAGAAACTATTCAAAGGAAATCATTGGGATTATGAGTAAATCCTTATAATGACATTTCTGTTTGGAGCAGAAAAGTGTAATGAGGAAATTTCTTACAAATTGAAACCCATATACATTTATTTCAGATTTCATGATTATCACATTTATAGTAATAGAATAACACTTAGGCTACATTGATGTTGGTGAAACATGGTGCAGAACCTCTTCATTTTGTGCAGATAGCAGTTAAGTTGGCTGCATTATGACACTAACTAGCATTTGTTTCCAATGGAAAGGACTGAACTGGCAAATATGTAAATATGGTAACTTGGTGTTTTCCATTCTTGCAAATAAAATATTTACTCACATTAATTAAAAGGTTTTACATGTTCAAAAAGCCTCAGAGTACTAATGACTAAACAAAAACAAGAAGTTTCAGTTTTTTTTATAATGATAGTGCACTTCCCTCGAACATGGTGTTTAAACATGTGTGCAACAGGGAGGTGGGGGGAGATAAAGCTCACTGCAATTTCTCTGAAAGTTCAGATTTCCCTGCACTCCGGAACAGACCGTTCTACCTGGAGTTTCATTGTCAGACATGAAACTCTGCTCCTGGCCAGCGGCCCCTTATGGTTTGGCCATTCTGGCATTCCTGTGTAATTGTGCCACAGCTGTGGAGAGACGCTATTACATTGCAGCTGTTAATATTAACTGGGACTACACATCTGCCGGACAGCAAAGGTATGAAAAAGATCATTATTTGTTAGAATATAAATTGATTCAGTTTGATTGTTTGCCTTTTGCTTGTTTGGTTCTTGTATATCACAGATAAAGTCATTCACTATTGTAAAAATGTAACAAATAATTAAAACATATCTGTACTAAAACAGTTTATTAACTGACAAGAAATAGCATTCAAAGAAAATATTTTAAACGTATTCAATTTCATGAGTAAGGAAACATGAGGACATGTGACAAAGATATTTTATATGAAATACAAGTAACCCCAAATCAAACAAAATGTTAAACCAGCACCAAAAAACTACTGTAAAGTTTGTTAAAATAATATATAGTATATCTAAGACCAATTATGTCAAGACTTTATTCAAAATGTATAAATATGTCACCATGGTAATTATAGTAAATTGAAACCAAAACAACAAAAACATTTTTTGTTTCTGGAAATCAAATAAAATTAACTGAAATAAAATATTTCAAAACTTAAACTTATTTCATTGCTAAGGTAACATTTCTCACTTGCATTTAGTTTAACTTAATGTACTAAAATAATGACAAAAAAACAACTAAATTACTAAAACTTTAAATTAGAAGGGAAATTAAAAGGAAAATGGAAAATATAAAACCAGTATTTCTATGATACTAGAATAAAACTGCATTTTCACACAAATGGGAGTTGTTTTGTCTGTTTTTTTTTTGCTCATCTAAGAGATGTATTTATTGATGGTTGTTGTTGTATTCCAGAACTGGACCGTCATATAAAAAGGTCGTATACAGGGAATACAATGAGGGATTCACACAGGCGAAAACACATCCCTTGTCCTCAGGTATTCTGCATACCAAAGATGATGTCTTTGTTTCAACATTAAAATCCACAAGTCATTATGCATAAGTCATTTACGTTACAATTACATGAACTTTTAAATCATGATTATTTGAAACTAATGTTCTAGGGTTACTTGGGCCGACACTGCGAGGACAAGAGGGTGACACAATCATTGTCACGTTCAAGAACATGGCAGATCATCCCTGCAGCATCCACCCACATGGCATTGCTTACGGGAAGCAGTCAGAGGGTGTGTGTTCTGATATGATTGCGGTAACAATATGAGTGACGCAAGAGAGTTGTAACATACAGCACACTAGTAACAAAGTAAAAAATAGACACTGTGCTATGAAATAACAGACAGATACATTTCTAGAGGAATGTTGTTTAGAGGACATTATGGATTATTTTAGTGCTCATCATTTAGCTGAGTAAACACTTTGCGTAACACAAACATCTGTGTTTGATTTCTTTGGAAATATTAACCCAAGATACAAATTAACCACAGGCTGTACCTAAGTCCAAAGCAGTGAGTCTCTGATAAATATTTACAGATACACTATCCTCATTTTTTTTTTTCCCCCAAGATAAATTGATGTTGGTTTGATTGTAATAAACACCATCTGAAGCTGCATCCTTCTCACACTGCTAACGTTCCCATTTAGGATCTTTATACTTTGACAACACGTCACTCTATGAGAAAGAAGATGACATAATTTTACCCGGCCAAGAGCACACATACCAATGGGAGGTGACGTCTGAGGTGACCCCTATGGCTGCAGACCCCCCATGCATCACCTACACATACCTTTCCCACTTTGACATAGTCAAGGACTACAATACAGGGTTAATAGGCACAATGCTGATCTGCAAGAAAGGTATGTGAGGCAAAAACAAGATCCTGGATTTACAATGTGATGTTTATTATGACATTTATGCTTAGATGGGTTAAGATGCCCAACTTTAATTTTCCTCTTGACCACTAAATCTCATCTCAACACATTTACTGAATGGCTATGCTCTTATTTATTATGACTCTTCATGTGAACACCAACATTTGTTAACTATATGAGATCTCTATTTTTTTTTTATTTTTTTTTTTTATTTATGTTGGATTATAGTGATCTTTTCATTTCTTTTATGTTGCTGGGTAGATTACTTACAAATTGTAGTCCGTTACTGATTCCAAATTACATGACAAAAATTGTAGTGAGTAAAGTAATCCATTACATCATTTTAGATAATATAATCAGACTACTATTTAATTATTTCTAGATTACTTTTGACCTCATCTCATTGAACTCAATTTTCACATTGATTTAAATAGGAAAATCTTGTACCATATCAATATTAAAATACAAAGAGTAAGAAAATATATTCTATTTGTTGTAATTAATAACATGAAGTGCATTGAACATTACATTATGTCAATGTTTCCCAAACTGGGGTTCATAAAGGAACTCCAGGGGGTTTGTGAGTTTAATGAAAAGCTAATAATGAATGAAATTATAAAATAAATCATTTAAAATAACATCAATAAAAAAAAAAACACTTACTAAAAAAATTTAATATTTAATTTGTTTACCTGCATGTCATGTGACCATTAAATGATGTCAGAGAGCCTTAAACATGCAAATGTGATATTCTTAGTACAAGTACTTAATTTTTGGAGTCTGATTGTAATCCAGATTATATCAGTTACTACCCAGCATTGTCTATTTGTTACTGGGGGATTTGTGGACATAATTTATTTACAGCAGATTTGTACATTAACATATTTTATTTAAGTGAATTTGGCTAAAAGGCTGCCAGCAGTATGTGGGTATGAACATTTTTAAAATATAGGCTTTAAAATGGAAAAGTGGATTTAAAGTGGATTTACAGTCGACTTTAGCAGGCTAAAGACTCTATATATAGTGAAATCAATATTGGAATATTTTACTAGTAATAATACTATTGTACACTGAAATAAAAAAAGTATCTAATAATAATAATTTCATTTTACTGAATAACAATTATTTAATTTCTCCAAAAAAAATATCTCAAATAATATCATATCTCAAATAATCTTGATTTCTTTGCTTTTCAAATGTCATTTTTTTCCAATTCTCATTTATTTGCCTGTGAATCCTTGCAGACCTATTATGGAATTCAAGCTGTGATTTTTGACGAAAACGAATTATTCAATAAAAAATGCAGATGTGTCTATTTATTTACCTTAATAAAATAATACACTGACTGAATGATGCATCATTATCATGTACATGCTGAACTCATGTTACAGTGTAGTACTGTAAATGTACACCATTCTTATGGGACTTCTTTCCCCAGCTTAACCTATACAGTTTGAGTTTCCCAGAAATTACGCAACTATAAACAGCTCTGTTTGTCTAGACGATTAATGTGTCTTTGTCCCACAGGCACCCTAGACGGCTCCGGAAATCAGATTCATTTCCATCAGGAGGCTGTGCTGTTGTTTGGAGTGTTTGATGAGAACAAGAGCTGGTACAGCACCGGGGGCCCTGAACAGGCACACAATGTGAAAAACACTATAAATGGCTACACAAATGGCTCGATACCAGGTTGGTTTGATATTTTTCACACATAACATATCATTTCTGCAAATCTACTGAGGTGTAAAGCTCCTCCTTGTCGTCCTCCAGATCTGGACATCTGTGTCCACTCCAAAGTCAGCTGGCACCTGCTGGGCATGAGCTCTGAGCCAGAGCTCTTCTCTGTACACTTCAATGGGCAAGTCCTGCTGCACGATGGCCACAAAACCTCATCTGTTGGCATCATTAGTGGAACTGCCACCAGTGCCAGTATGAATGGTATCCACCCCGGCCGCTGGCTTATTTCCTCTCACATTAGCAGGCACTTGGAAGGTAAAAACTGGCAGAGAAACCACAAGATTTCATAAATTATTTATTTAAAACATCAATACATACAGTCTCTACTTCATAGCTTTGTAGAATCACTATTAATGCTGACAGTTTGTACTTTATTAAAGTGATTATATGTTGAGTTCATATTTGCAGCTGGTTTGCATGGATACCTAAATATCAAGACGTGTGATGAGTACACAGAACCAAAAAGACGACTTACCATCCAACAGAAACAAGAAAGCCAAGAGTGGACCTACTACATAGCAGCAGAAGAGATGATCTGGGATTATGCTCCAAATATGCCAGAAAACATGGATGGGTATGTGCATCATGATTCATCAATAGGACATGCCTTTGTGTGAGTTCCATTCCAATGTTTAATCCCACTTTTATCCACTCAGGGATTTCCGATCAAAATATTTAAAGCAGGGGCCTCAGCGAATAGGTAAAAAATACAAAAAAGCAGTATTTACTCAGTATAAAGATGGCACATTTAAAGAGAGAGCAGAAGACAAGCAGAGAAAGAAAGAGCTTGGGATTCTTGGGCCAGTGATAAGAGCTCAAATCAGAGATGTCATAAAGGTATAAGGCTTCTCACATAATCACAGCTCTAATAATTACTATTTTATTTATTTATTTATTCTTTTGGGTTAAGAACATTTTTAATGTTTCTGGTCAGGATGCATGATGATTGTGATGTTGTTTCTATAGATTGTCTTTAAAAACAAAGCATCACGTCCGTACAGTATCTATCCTCATGGACTGACCATTGATAAAGCAGCAGAAGGAGCCAGTTATCCTGCAGAAGGTATGTTTGATATCTATGAATTCATATTAATCAATTCTACACTATACATGCATAAAATTCATATATGCCTCTTTATTTAAATCAGCAGACAACATTATGAGAAGAAATGTGCTGACATCTCTAACAGGGCTGCAGGATGTATTGGAATAAAACTGAAGACATGAGATGGCTTAGTGTGATTATCAAATCACGTAGGCTGCAACATACATGTCGCATGCTTCAGTGAAGTGCTGCACTGTGCTCATGATCTGATATTTGTTTCAGCGTCTCAAAGCGGTTTGTTTCGTTTACTGTGACCCAAGCTGCTCTGATACACTGAAAACAAACAGTTATGAGCTGCACACAAGTAAATGCTCCACTCTGAAACAATGCATATTTATTGAAATCAAAGCCTTTGTGATTTGATAATCGCAAACCACAAAAATAAATGCTAGATGGCTTAATGATTAAAAATTATGAAAATTACGAAGTAAATACTCACTTTTTATTTTACAGTGCAATATTAAAATATTTTTCTTATTTTGTTCAATATTTTTATTTAATAATAATCACAGTAAAATCATCATTATTATTATTTTTATTATTAGTCATACTGAATGCATCAAAAACAGTGGGAATGTTGCCTTTGATGATGCTGACATACTGAAATATCTTTGAGTTGGTCCTTGCAAAGAGTATGCCCATTCAGCTTTTTTAATATTTATTTAAATTTTCTATACAAATGCATGAATTATTATTCTTATTCATATTTTATTTTTTAAAATATAGCTATTCAAGTCATCTGGTGAAAACTAGTGTATCTTAACATATACGTAAAATACAAAATAACACAATTTCAGTTTTTTCCAATTTCATGCAGCCCTAATCTCTAAAGTCCTTATCAATGAAAAGATACCTGTAAAATCATAAAACAAAAAAGTAAGCATGACAGATATGAGAAAAAAAAATATTTAAATAAAATTGCTGTTCATTTGAAAGGGAACCAGACACACGGGATTCAACCAGGTGAGATTTACACATATACATGGAGTGTGTCTGAGGAAGATACACCAACGGACAGTGACCCCAGATGTCTGACCAGGATGTACCACAGTGCAGTGGACACTCCTCGAGACATTGCTTCTGGTCTTGTGGGTCCTCTTCTCATCTGTAAGAGCCAGTCCCTCAACAAAAAGAATGTCCAGGTAACTGCTTTCCATTTGCAATATACAGTAATAGGCCACTGATTCAGAGTCAAATGACTCAAATGGTTGAAATGAAACTAATGAATCATTTCTATACAATATCACTGTTTAAGGCACTGAAACACCTTCTATTGGAAGGCTGTTCCAAACCGTAGGCAGCAAAGTAATTGTGCCTTATATGCTACCTTTTTTGCACAAAATATAGGGCAGCATTGTATGTTTTCTTCACAGATAAGGCAAAACTGAGGAAAATGAAATCCAGCACAGAAGTGATAAATACAGCTACATGGATCTATTTTGATTTGCATTACTGAATTAAAAATGCATCTATTACTGTTATTTCACACATCTATAATTGCAATTTCAACCAATATTTGAATGGTATATGCATTTTTTGTGCTTAAAGTTTCACAATCTTAGCTTAGTGACAAGCCAACATCAAAATGCGAGTAACACTTAATGGAGTTGCCACTTTTGTAGAGTGTTCTGAATAACTAAATTATGAAGTTTGACTGTATGATGGTTAACATGCTGCCTAAATAGCAAAGCAGCTCACTTAGTTTTGGATACTGAAAGCATTTCTCTTTTTTAGCTGAAAGCAGACAAAGAACAGCATGCCATGTTTACTGTTTTTGATGAGAACAAGAGCTGGTACCATGATGAGAACATTAACACATACTGCAGTGACCCCAAAAGAGTTAAAAGAGATGATCCAGAGTTTTACAAATCCAACGTTATGCACAGTGAGTGATTTTCTGATATTTATCATATTAGTGTTGTTGATTCATATTTGGTACATGTATTTATTGCATCAACTTTTACAGCAATCAATGGCTATGTATATGAAAGTGGCCAAGAATTGGGATTTTGTAATGGTGAAATCGTGACTTGGCATGTGTCAAATGTTGGCGAACAAGATTACATCCAGACTGCCACTTTTTATGGCCATACATTTGAGCTAAAAAACAGAGAAGAGGATATGCTCAGTCTATTTCCCATGACTGGTGAAACTATCACTATGAACATGCTTAATATAGGTGAGTTTCCAAAGGATTTAATTCAATTTTAAGACATTGTCACTGACTATACAAAGAAATACAGATAACAAAAACTATGAATTTAAACTCAACATTCTTCACTTTATAGGTATTTGGCTTTTAGCATCACTGAACTCTCACGATTCCACTAAAGGGATGAGGGTGAAATTCAAGGACCTTGAATGCTTCAGAGATTACGTTATGGAATATGATTATGAACCAGAAAAATTCACTGTATGGAAACCTGTGTCCATCAGTGATATTAAAAAAGAGGAACCAAAACAAATAAACCCTATCATGGTTGACGAGGACACCGAAATCTATGCAGAAGAATTTGGCTTGAGGACGTTCAAAAACTTTAAAGATGACGTTGAGCTAATTGACTTTTCGATACTAGACATTGACGATGGTTTATTGCCGACTATTGAGACAAAAAGCCCAGCCTCAAGTGACGAGTTGGACAAATCACACAATACTACATTTGGATCTTTCAATCAGAGTCATGGTTTATCAGCTGACGAGGCTGGTTTGGACAAGAGACAATCTTCAAATAAAGTCTTGAATGAAAGCACAGAAGAGGCATTGCTAGGCATGGCAAGCATTTTTGATTCCAAACCAGAAATCATGTCAAACAATGACACGGACAGTATTATCTCACATTTTCCAGTTGTAGAAAGAAAGGTCCGCAATGTACCAACAAAGCCAGTGAATGAAATGGAAAGTGTCTCTACAAATGTTACTCTGGATATTGAAATAAATACCAACATAGTAGAAAACGTCAGTTCATCATTAGAGACAGAAAGTATCTCCGCTTACACTACTCATGTAGAAAACGTCAGTTCATCATTAGAGGCAGACAGTGTCTCTGTGAATACTACTAATTCTCCAATCATTGAAACCAACATCACCCACACAATGAATGAAATACACATTTCCCCCACTAATACCAGTATCACTTCATCTGATGCTCCAGTTGGTGACAGAAACATTACCATGGAAGGTGACAGTCCATCTCTAAATTCTTCTGAATCAAACCTCTTGCTTTCAAACCAAACCTTAGAAAACAAAACAGTAATTCAAGAAGAGGCAAACACTAAAAATAACACTGACTTGGATGGTGACCGTGATAGTTCGGGTCACGTCTTCATATACCATGTGCCTAGTCCTGATTCTCTCTCCAACAGGTCAGAGACACAAACTGAGGAGGATTTTGTGCTTCTGGATGGTGGTCATCCCTCGGAAGTTTCAACAGATTATAAGACTGTAGTAGAATATAATGTCTCACCAACGGACACACCAGAGGAGATTGGTGAATTAACTGAAAACACAACAATGATTCAAGAACTCAACAGCACAAAGGTGAATTACACCGGTGAGATGTTTTCGCAGGTAAATTCTGAAACTGAGAGCATTTTTAATCTCAGTTTGTCTTCGCCTTTGAGAAACAGCACTTTGCAAAACAATGAGTCTGAATCTTCAAATGCAACTTTGTCTGATTTCAGTCTCGACCTTGAATCTGAAATAACAGAGAACAGAACATCACCCACTAATGTTACAATGAAATCTCACAGTGAAATTTTAAGAAATGCATCAGAGCTCTTTTCTTCAGACAGTATGGAGAACGTGTCCTTTTCTCTTGGCCCTTTCAATGTTTCATCCATGAAAAACGGCTCGGAAAGCGAAAGTGAAGAGGAAGTAGTCATCTATCTGAAGAACAATCACAGCGAGGCCATACTCACATCTCATCTCGATCCAAAAGAAGAGCACTGGGGTTATGAAGGCAACCATGAACTGGTTCATATGGAAATCCCAGATCACATGAACAAATACATCTCAGACAAGTCTGCAGCAAATTCAAACAAACCAAAGACTGAAAAGAAAAAAAAAGTAGTTCACCAGAGGGTAAAGCCGAGAAAGGGATATGGCATGAAGACGAAGAAAAGGAAAGAGTATAAGCCACAGCCACGTTCTGATGTTTCTCCAAAGGGTTTTTCTCCAAGAGGTTTTGGACCTTCTTGGTTGACCCCAAGGGGAAGCAGGCCTATCTCTAGCGAGGACGACCTGATGGGGAAATCCATCGTCATAGGAGTGCCAAGACGCGATTTCAATGATTATGAGTTATATGTTCCAAAAAATGAGCAGAGTGAAGATTTTGATGGTATAGTTGATCACCCAGAAGAATATGAATATGTAGAGTACAAAGACCCTTATAGCAAAACAGCGGATGTTCAAAGCCCAGCGCTTGATGTAACATCCCAGCATTTCTTAAAAATTGCTGGAGACAAGAATACCAGAACTTTTTTCATCTCAGTTGAAGAGGAAGAATGGGATTATGCTGGTTACGGTCAGAGGTACTGTTGGCATCATGTATTTCAAATAATCCACATTTTGCATTTCTAGAAACAAAAAGCATGAATATATGAATCTAAAAGAGTATAACCCATTTGCGAAATCACTTTTATGTTTGCAAAGGAGGCTTGATAAATCATCTCAAAACGAGAGGCCCACAGCTTTCAAAAAAGCGGTGTTCAGAAAGTACCTGGACAGCACCTTTAGTATCCGAGACATCCGAGGGGAAATGGATGAACACCTGGGAATTCTGGGTCCGGTCATTAAAGCTGAAGTTGATCAAACTGTTATGGTAGACCACTGAATATGTGAACATACTTGTGTACAAATGAAAATTAGAAGCAAATCATATGACAAAATCATAAAAAATTACATTCCTGTTTTTCATGCTAGGTATTTTTCAGGAACCTTGCCAGCCGTAAGTACTCTTTGCATGCAAATGGAGTCAAGTATTTAAAACAAATGGAAGGCCTGAGTTACGATGATCAGTCACCGTACTGGTACAAACAGGACGATGCCGTACAACCCAACAGCACCTTTATCTACATGTGGACTATAAATTCCAAATCTGGACCTCAAAATAATGAATCTGACTGTCGAACGTGGACTTACTACTCTGCAGTGAATCCGGTAAGCATGAATGCTTCTTAATTTTCCACTTAACTAAAGATTGCTCCATGAGGGCTGTCCATAACTCAATTTGAATACAAACAGGTGCCAAATAACTATTATTAATTTTGACTTACAATTAAATTATTTTCTTGCATAGGAGAGAGATATAAACTCTGGGCTGATTGGACCGCTTCTGGTGTGCAGGAAGGGTACACTGGATAAAAAGCCTCTGGACAGAAGAGAGTTTGTCCTGCTCTTTATGACATTTGATGAGAATAAGAGCTGGTACTACGAGGAGAATCGGGAGAGGATTGAAAGGAAAAACAAAAGAGCAGTCATGGATCCAAATTTTAAAAATAATTTAAAGTTTGACGGTAAGAAAACTGTTTCTCCTCAGCTTTTTTAACGCCATTATTTTAATTATAATGCAGTATTTATACTACAGTCATTATCATTGGATTAAAACTAAATAAATTGGAGCAAGTATTGAGACCATTAAAAATATTGCTTTACATAAACTTACTTGACAAATTTATATCTGTTATGTCTGTTTTTTTGTCAGCTATCAATGGTATTATCTACAGTCTCAAAGGACTGCGAATGTACACAAATCAGCTAGCGAAGTGGCATCTGATCAACATGGGCTCTCCCAAAGACCTCCACAGTGTCCATTTCCATGGTCAAACGTTCATAAATAAGGAATTAAAGGACCACCGTCAGGGAGTTTACCCACTTTTACCAGGTGTGTAGTGGTGTTAGAAGATACTTACTTACCTAGATGATCTAGAAAGGCCATTCACACTCAGATCCCATCATTTAGGTGGATTTGCCACACTGGAAATGTTGCCTTCAAAGCCTGGTCTCTGGCAGCTGGAGTCTGAAGTTGGACTCTCACAGCAGAGGGGAATGCAGACGTTATTCCTTGTGTTAGACAACGGTATCATATACAGTAATTTATCATGCTGATCTTATTACAAGAAAACAATTGATTCTGTCAGGTCTTAAAATCTTACCTGGTCTGTTTTGCAGTCTGTGATCATCCTCTTGGTCTCATCTCTGGAACTGTGAACGATGAACACATATCAGCATCTGACTCTAGAGGTAGGATTTGAAAGTAGCCTATAGCTTTTTATGTAGCATAGTCAGGGTCACATTATTAACACATTTAAAACTGTTTTTAAGGACAATGGTATCCTCATTTGGCCAGACTACATAATACAGGGAAATACAATGCATGGAGTACAACAAAGACAGGACAGCACATTCAGGTAACCACTCATAATGGTGTGCAGACAATTAGCCCATAAATAAAGAAATGCTAATGACTAGTTACTTGAAGAGGCTGTATCCTGTATTCCAGGTGGACTTCCAGAGGCCGGTAGTGATTAGTAAAGTTGCCACACAGGGAGCCAAGCAATTGTTAAAACATCATTTTGTGCTGAACTACACCATTTCCTACAGCACTGATAAAAAGAAGTGGACTTTCTACAAGGGAGACAGCGATACCGTCAGAAAGGCAAGTGACTATTTCTGTGTGGTTATAAAGTGAATGCACATTTCAGCATAAGGATCTGTTCACAACGTTCCACTGCACAGCATTTTAGTTGTTTTTCTATGTAAACATGCAGAGACCAATGGTTCTCAAACAGGGGGCCTCAGCAAACTTGCCTTAAGACAACTTAAAATTATTTAAAATGAGAAAACACAAGCTAAAACAACTAAAAACCAAGATATTTATCATTTTAATTGACCTCCTCAACAACAGTTTGCTTCCTTTGACGAACCAGGGTTCCCACAGTCTTGGAAAACCCAGACTGCCTATTTAATGTAGTGTTATTTCTAGACCTGGTACAAAGTAATGTAAACTCACAAAATCTAACACCATGGGCATTTGTATGATGAATATACATTACATTTACTAGTTATGTAAAGCTCTAAAAAAATTGGGGGAACAGATTGCAAGTAAAAAATATTCTTAATCCTTATTCAGTAAATCACAAACAACCTTAAGAGTCAAGAAAAACATGCATCTACTAAAACATACAATATCCTGAAATTGCATTATTTTAATTTAAATTTGAATATTTTGAATTGATTAAAATAGGTTTTGAATCCAAAACTAGGGCCAGGGGGGCATTTGAACATTGGTTGAGAAGCACTGCACTACTAGACTGACGTCTTTATGTACCAAGACACTGCATCAAATTAATTGTTTAAACGTGCCTAGGGATTTTGTTATTCATTTTTCATTCTTTTTAAACAAAATCAAAACATTCTGTGTGAACAGCCCATAAGATCTGCACTGTGTTTTCCAATGCCCAACAGACTTTTGAAGGAAACAGCGAAGCTTATGACACGAAGGAGAATATATTTTTCCCACCTCTGATTGGTCGATATGTGAGGCTGTATCCTTTACATTTTTACAGCTACCCAACTGTCCGTTTGGAGTACTATGGTTGTGAGCTTGATGGTATGGACAAAAAATTGTACAGATTTTGTTTTCTCATACTGCCTTATAAGACAAAATAAAGTTCAGCTCCATTGTACTAATCCGCCTCATTGTGCTGGCAGGTTGCTCTGTGCCACTGGGAATAGAAAGTGGCCTCATTAAAGATGCTCAAATCACTGCCAGTTCTGTGGCCTCCAGTTGGTACTCTGGCCAGTGGCATCCTTGGTATGCACGCTTAAATAAATATGGGACTGCCAATGCATGGCAAGCCAAGGTAACTAAGATATACCTCATGAATGAAACCCTTAAAGGTATTTACTCCACTTCAAACCTCAAGCCTCAATAAACTGTTTGCAATTGACAGAACAATGACATACAGCCATGGATCCAGGTGGAACTCAAGGATATAAAGAAGATAACTGGAATTATAACACAGGGGGCCAAATCGTTAGGCAATGAGATGTTTGTGACAGCATATTCTCTGGAGTACAGTGAAGACGGCAAGAGATGGACAAAGTACACAGATGATGAGGACTATGAACAAAAGGTAAGTGGTCTCACTTTTTGGGATTAGAACAAGTTTCTACACAACATCTAACCACAGTGTTTTGTCTTAAGATTGAGAAAAAAGTGTTTTCTTTTATTTTCACAGACATTTCAAGGCAACACAGATAACAATGGCCAAGTAAAGAACTACATCTACCCGCCAATATTTTCCAAATTCATCCGGATTATTCCAAAACAATGGCAGAAATCCATTACTATGAGAATTGAGCTGCTTGGTTGTGATTTTGAATAAACACTGTGCTTTCACTGATATGACAATAGTTTTTATTTTATGTGTTGTAATTAAATATAATAAATGCTGAATCTTTTTTTTTTTTAAAGCGCATCTAAATAACTAAATATTTCCCAAAATTTGAGGTGGATGAATGCAGAAATTTTTTAATGTGTTCCTACAGTTTACAGCACGCATATGCCACCTAGTGTTGAATTAATGTCTGCTCGCTCTGGGTCAGCCCAACACACACACACACACACACGCGCGCGCCTTTATGCTTAGGTAATATTAGACAGACAGACAGATAGTTTTCGTCAAATTGTTTTGCTGTTGTGTTAAGCATAGCTAAATCTCACTGTTAATTTTAACGTGTAGATATTTTTGGTGGAACACAGACATAAAAAAACGTACAAAACGATTTTTGCAAATATTATTCCCCATGAGAACATTGCAGAGCAGACTATATGTAGCCGGTGAGAGTGAGACCCGGGCCTCTGGACTGTCTGACTCTGCAGTCGAGATGGAGGGAAGTTTTAAAGAGGAGGATTTCCGACGCCATTGTGACGTCAGCAGCGCCTCTTTATTCACCGCCGACCGCAGCAGCCGCAACAAATGAACATCCCTGGATCATTTAATACTTTGTAACTGCGTTGAAACTTTGAGCATGCGTCTCCGGAAAGCGTGAGAAAACAAACTCAGCATCTTGCAGGAGGTGAGAAAGTTTTTGGATTAAAGTTAGTCGTCGCAGACTAACAAAGCCAGCCGGTGAAAGTTACTAGTGCTGGACTACAGCGTGATATCGCCTGGCCTGGAAAACTGGTACGTTATCCTTGTATCTATCATTGCATTAGGATAAACTATGCAATTTTGAATCGAAGTGGTCGGAAACACATTTCTGTGCAATGCAAAATATCGCTGTTGTTGGAAAAATAGAGAAAGAGTGCTTGCGCTTCGCACTCTCCGCTAGCTGATCACATTGCTGTGGTTGCTCATTGGACGTGCATCATGGTGAACGATTTATTGAAGAGGCATGACAGATGATCCACATCCAGTGGCCCCAAACGCATTTGGATGCTTGAGCTGCACATAAACTATATGAAATTCATTGCATTAGATTTGAACTTAAATGCAGCTACAGTAAATTTTTCCTTATGTGATATATTTGCCTGAAGAGTGCTATTTTGAGTATTATGTTATAATAATGCTGAGTATTATTTTTTCTTATGTATTTGTTATCTAATGCAGTGATATATATTAAGTGTGACTAAAGTGTCTTAACATTTGTTCTGATTTGTATTGTTTTTTATTATATGCTTTTATATTTTATATAATGATTTATGATTATTTTATTATCGTAAACGTAATGTTGTCTTCAGCAAAGCTTGCATATTTTGTGTGCATATAGTTGTGAAACGTTTCATTTTAAATCCTGTGATTCTACATTGGTAGAAGTCTTACTTAAAATCTGAGCACAGTCTCTTCAGACTGGAGTTTTTCACAGCACAGCCCAGTTCTTAACAAACAGTTTATTGTAAGAATGTATAATCCACATTTGTACAATGTATTGTACAAACAAAATCAGCTTTACAGCTTTGTAGTGCTTTACAGGACACCCTTGAATGAACCCACCACACCAGATCATTTCTTCATCTTGTAGCATTCAGATGTTCCAGACAGCTTTTATCAGACTGCATTTCCTCTCATATCTTGTAGTTTGTCAACATGTCTGTCCTGTCCTGAGTACCCAGCGGCCTCCCATAATGAACAGCTCTAATAATGGGACAGCGGTGGCCAACTCCACTAACGGCCTGGACGACGATGGGCTCGTGGTGCTGGAGTCTGTCTCTATCATCATCATAGCAATACTGGCATGTCTGGGGAATCTGGTCATTGTGGTGACCCTATATAAGAAGCCCTACTTACTGACACCCAGTAACAAGTTTGTCTTCAGCCTGACTTTGTCCAATTTGCTGCTGTCTGTCCTAACGCTGCCCTTCGTTGCGGCCAGCTCGGTGCGTCGGGATTGGATGTTTGGAGTGGTTTGGTGTAACTTCACAGCACTGCTCCATCTACTCGTCAGCTCATCCAGCATGCTTACACTAGGAGCCATTGCCATTGACAGGTCAGTCGTTATGTTAGCATATCCTACAGTTTGAGAAATCCTTGTAAATAAGGGTTAATAGGACTGTTTATGATAAAGAAAAGGAACAGACGTCTAGTGTCAAAGTTTAAATTTAATGACTCTAAAAAGTGATAACATATTTTCCTTACAACTTATACATGCAAGTGTACAGATCGTAATATTGTTTTTTTACATTTAAAAAATATTTTTTAAATATTTTAATTTTTTTTACAAATATGAATCATTTATTCATAATATAATACGTAATAAATATAATTTATGAAAGTCACACCACATGACATTTTACAGCCTGAACTAACCTTGCCGTGTCCAAAAAATTATTAGCTAGATATTTTAAGAGTAATTGACCTTGACAAGGTCATAAAGGTTTGCATTGGTCCTCTCTGTCATATAATTTTTCCTGTTTTAATTTTTTCTGCATTTCGTTTGGACTGTGTGAGTCTGAGTTGGTGGGCAAACTTTACATTAAATATTAATAGAAAATCCAATACAGAAATTAAAAACATTGTATCTATGAATTGCATTTTTTAAATGTGTTTTTTAAATAAATTCATAAACGGACAGATACAAAAAGTTAGTGTCATGTGATTGACCCATAAGCAAATATACTTGCTGTTCAGTCAATTGTTGTATTATTATGAAATCTCAAATTCAAGTTAATTCAAGATCAATTCTTGGCAAAACTGTTTTTGACTGCTGTAATCAATGGCCATACTGTATTTTTTTAAAGCCTGTAGTTCACCATGACATTTAACTTATGTCCAGTTTTGCTTGAACAGATCCACTGTTTTTATTAACAAGATGCACACTGAAAAATACCAGACCTATTTAGCTTTATCAATACACAAACCTAGAAGCCACACTCAGCTTGAGAGTCTTAGAGAAAGACCCCCTTGTCTTTCCATTGGCTAGTCATGTGTCTCTCACGAGGGAATTATTGAACTGTATCTGTTTTATATCAATGTCCGTCTCATTCTAGGTACTACGCCGTTTTATATCCCATGATCTACCCCATGAAAATCACGGGAAACCGAGCTGTGGTCGTCATCGTTTATGTGTGGCTCCACTCCCTGGTCGGATGCCTGCCGCCACTTTTCGGGTGGTCCGCCTTTGAGTTTGACCGCTTCAAATGGACCTGTACAGTGGCTTGGCACGAGGAGATCATCTATACTGCCTTCTGGGTTACGTGGTGCTGCCTTCTGCCACTGGCGACCATGCTGATCTGCTATGGCGTCATCTTCCACGTGGCCCGCATCAAAGCTCGCAAGGTTTACTGCGGAAGTGTGGTGGTGCCTCACGAGGAGTCCAGTTCTCAGAAGAATGGTCGCAAGAACTCCAATACTTCCACATCTTCTAGTGGAAGCCGCAAGAGCCTGGTCTACTCTGGGAGCCAATGCAAGGCCTTCGTCACCATTCTGGTGGTTCTGGGGACATTTCTGACCACTTGGGGTCCATATGTGGTAGTTATCAGCACTGAAGCACTGTGGGGTAAAGACAGTGTTTCTTCACAGATGGAGACACTGGTCTCCTGGCTGTCCTTCACCAGTGCTGTGTGTCATCCACTTATTTATGGGCTGTGGAATAAGACCGTACGTAAGGAGCTGTTGGGCATGTGCTTTGGAGACCGCTACTACAGAGAGTCTTTTGTTATACGGCACCGGACCTCTCGTCTTTTTAGCATCTCTAACCGGATAACGGGTGAGCCTGCTGCTGCTGTTATTTGTATCCTGGTATTCTTCGTAATCTAATGTTTGGATGAGATGTCTGAGGATCTTTGTTGTTTGACAGATTTGGGAATGTCTCCTCACCTGACAGCCATGTTAGTGGGCGGTGGGCAGCTCCTGGGCCGTGGAAGCAGCACGGGAGACACTGGCTTCAGCTACACCCAGGACTCAGGTAGACCTTCTGCTGTTTATAACACATGTCAGTTTAAAACAATTTAAGGGAATAATTTATCCAACAATGAATGCTGTCATCATTTACTTACCATCACATTGTCCCAAACCTAATGACTTCCTAGTTTCTTCTGTGGAACAAAAAAAAGGAGGTATTTTAGCATAATGTCTTTTAGGGACAATTCCTGTCAGTTTTAAAAAAGCACTATGTAAGTACCACAAAAATAGTCCATGCCACTTGTGGGCTGTATTTCAAGTCTTCTGAAGCCATACTAGATCAATTTTGTATGAGGAACAGGCTGGCCAAAATTCATGTCGCTATTCACTGAAAATCTTCTCTTTCATTGTAGTTCTTGAATCTCATTCTCACTTCTGCATAAACTGATGTGTTGCGTTCAGCAGTAAGTCAACAAATACGGTTTGACATTATTGACCGTGCATCAGTTTGAATATTTGAAAACTGATTTGAGAGTTATAACAAACTGGAAGGCCTTCAGTCAATAACAACCTAAATAACTTAAAGTCTGTTCCTCACACAAAATCAAATGGCTTTAGAAGACTCATATAATGAATGAACGAACGGTAAAAACATACTTTTGTGATACAGGTTTTTTTTATTTTTTTTATCTCAATATCATCCATTGCCTCCAAGTTTTGTTTTATGGAAGAGAACTGCACAAACTTTTTATCTAAATAAAAATCTCCTTTTGCCTTTTTCTTGAAAAATATTAAAATGTATTTCGGTGAGGCTGAGTAAATTGGAGGCAATTTTTCATTTTTGAGTGAACTTTTAAAAAGCCTTTAAAAGAATTATTAATTATTTTGTAATCAACTTTTTTTGCAGGAATGCACAATATACTAGTACCATCTTGGATGATATTGGTGATATATTTATCATTATCAGCTGTTATTGCGTATTTTACATTTGAATTTACCATCATCTAATGCTTACTTAAAGTTGCTCTCTAAAAACACTAATAATTTAGTAACAGCTAAATGTCAT